TCGAGTACTTTTTATAGGAGACCAAGTACAAATAAGTACGTCAAGCGGGTAAAGATAATTCTTCGGGTGTGAGTAAGGCTCGGCGGGTGTCCGTAGTATTTAACTAACAATGTATTGTACGCTGCCTCTAGCCTGTATTTAGATATACAATTATTTACTAATTTACACAGTCCAACAAATACAGTTACAATTGCTGGTATTGCGGTGCAGTGATGCATTAAACTTCTATTATGCCATAATAGATTATTCTTCAAAACTAGCTCTCAATTCCCTTTCTTTAGACGAACGGACGAATCTATGTATAGATGCTACATAAATAATTGTGCGCTACGCACAGCTACACATATTTTTAAGGATATCATGTCTTTAAAAAAATATCACAATTTATCATCTACTCTTTTAATTTCATTGGGCGTTTCTGCCAAAATTTTAAATAAATAATAAATAAATAACCCTTTAAAAATTGCCTTTTATGTTTAATGTTTAAGAATTATTATTATTTTCAAAAGAATATTGATTATCTAACAGGGTTTGAAAATATCATGATATTTATATAAATATCATCATATCGGATATATATCAAATTTTGATATTTATTTTGTAATACTTGTCTACTTTTTTGCTGATGTAAAAAACTGATAAATAATAAGAACATATTGCTAGTGTACTTTATTATTTAGAAAAGAAGGTCGATAATAATATAGTTTTGTTGAACAAATAAAATTTGAAAATGGAGATCAGCTTAAAATGATTTCATTTCACATAACTAATTATTGGTTAGTCATCGAATAATGAGGAACGACATAGTCGTGCACTTATTTTTTATGGGAATAAATATATTCGTTGTAAACATCCATGATATATATCAGAATTTAAATATCATGATATATATCGTGATAAACATCGTGATATATTATTTATATATCCTTCGAACCCTGTTATCTAACACGTTTTTTTACAAACTTCTTTAAATTTTGATGGTTACTGGTTAAATATTGTCAACGACGAGATACGTAATAATATAATACACACAGCACCCTATTCTACTATGAAAGGTAAATTAAAATAACATTTAATTCAATTTTATAACTAAATTTTTGAAAACGAAAACAGCTAATTAGGCGAAATTAAATGTATAAAATCAAATTCTCGACTAATCCTGTTTGGTGCAAGGAGTTATTTATTTAAAAATTTTCCTTTTATGTGCAGAACTACCAAATCAAATAAAAAGAGTAACTAGAAATGCCACAAGTAAATAATTAGAGACAATCTAATTAATCATATCCTACACAACACCTTGTATATTACGTTAATATCGAGAAAGTTAAGTCTGATATGACGGAGAACTTTTGAGATAAAAGATGCACCTATTTCTTTATACGACAATATAAATTTACTCACTTTCGATTCGAATTTGTATCTATATATTTAATCGTACGTATTTAAGGAATAAATAAATTACGTTTTTGTTTTTTAAAGCTTTGTATTTTGAGTCTTATCCTATTTTAAATCAGGCTAACACTGCAATGAAAATAATGGATTTTGATCTCTCAAGGCGGAGTTACAAAATTGGCTATGTTTTTCCAGTCTAGGGATTTCAAGGCTTACTGCAACGAATCAAATCTGAAGTACTTCTAACATCTACTTCATTTTTTTCAATATCGCTTCGTATTTAGTTACGGAACCATTTCGCTGTACATTCACCCATTTTTTCCAGATTACGATCGTATTTTTAGTTAATAACACCCTGTATGTCATGTTAATACAAAAATGGTATATATCTATTTATTTTTTTAGTAGGAAATATCACAAATTTACTCCACTTTCAAATTTCCGAATGTTTTTATCTTATTTTTAATTATACCCACCTAATTATTATCCAATACTGGATCTGGCTATGTTTATCCAGTCTATACAGGCTGTTACAAATTCGCTTCTCATTACAGGGATCTCGGAAATGGTAAGAGATACGAAGTAGCTTAAATGGGGGCAAAGTTACGTAATCAGGCAACCAACATTATGCCTCTAAAAATCAAGGCTAACATGATTAGTTTTCGAAATACCATCAACTTACGACCCTAATTTTATTACATTTTTTTGAAAGTCTTCATGACCCCCAATATTCTTCAGCTCAAACCAGATTCAGACGTTTTGATTTCATTATGACAAATTGAACAACAAAAACTGCAAACAAATATTATACTTTAAAAAATTACAGTAAATGTTCAAAAACGTTTCCCATTTGGCAAACGTTGAAAATTAAGACGTATTTGTATGAATATCATGAAAAAAATTAGATCGAAATTTGTTTGAATTTTGAGTACTCGACGAACCTAGAAATAACTATGAGCACAGGATTAAAACTCTAAAAATGTTTTATTGTAACGCGTGATGGTAATAGTTTAAATAACTAGGTGGATTTCACAGGGTCTAGCGACACTTAGAGTGTACGATAATTCAAGAAACATAGAAATCTAAAAAAAAAATTAGATAAATTTGGAACGAATACATTGAAGATGAATTTTTCGAGACAAAACGTATGAATCTGGTTCGAGCTGAGACAGTACTGTGTTGGGGGTCATGAAGGCTTGCAAAAAATGTAATAACATTCCCAGGGTCGTATTTAAAAAAATTAAGTTGATGATGGTCCTGATGGAGAAACGAAACGTTACATATAAAAATTGATTACGCCATTCGATAGAGGGCAAAAAGTGACCATGAGAAAGTGTTCTTTTTTCAATATCACCTCAAGCAAAGCAGACATTAAACAAAAACAAATTTTCAAAATTTCGTTTTTTTTTTAATATTTCGAAAACTAATCATGTTAGCCTTGATTTTTTAGAGCCATAATGTTCGTCCCCTGATTACGCAACTTCTCATTTTATTTTCGTCTTATTGTTTTAACTTAGACTAGTTAAAATATCTTTAAGTCTAATATGGCATTGTATTTTAAAAAATATACTTTCCAAATGTTTTTTTTGTGTGTAACAAGAGACGGCCTCCCATGTCGAAATAATATTTGTAAATAACACCAGATATTTTACCTCAACTCGTTCAGAACGTATCGCTTTTACAAGGCATGTTTATTTAATAAAATCCTATCCGTCTTCTTTCGGCTACTACCAAGGTATCGAAGCCACGAGCTTTTATTCCGCTCTGCCTCAGTCAATAAAACTGTGGCTGTATTCTAGAAAATGTAAATTTGTGTAGACCAGAAAGAAACTCTATTTGTCAATGCGTTTTTGGTGAGATACACGGAAAAAACACGAATTTCACTCCAGATTCTATTGATTTTATAGACATAGCTTTGCGTTTGGTATTTTATTTGTTTTGAAGACTTAATGTCTTAGTAGTAACTCACTTCACTTTGAAAATTTCATGTATTTACGATGTTGAACACACAAAGGGCCAAATTATATAACATAATGTATAGCTTTGCCAATAAGCTACATTTATGCATACTAGGTACGCGTATAAAGTTTGATCCATTGATATCGTAGAATCTACAGTTTTGAGCAATGGAACTTGGAGAATAACTACACTCAATATTATCTAACAGTAAAGTTTAAAAGTCTACAGTGAAATTTATTAGAAATGAAAGTTAAAAGGAGGATTTTGTAAATTATAAAATAAAAAACGTTCGTGGTATATTACATATATATTTACATATAATATTCATACACATTTATATTATAATTTTATATACAACTATTCATAAACACCGATTTTCGGAAAATCACAATTGGTAATAGAATAAATAAGACATTCATATAAAACGGAGATCCGCAAAGCCAGATATTTTGCCAACATAAATTTAAAGAAAGTATTGCTTAATTTCGATTAATATACTGACTCTGTTTTAAAATATCGCAGTTGGTAACCTATTCAATATATTTAAAAAATCCTTGGAAGAACAATAATCTGAAACCCGAAATAAATCAAATAAATTGATTTATCCCCAGTAAGTAGTTTTACATCAAATTGGTATAAGGTTGAGCTCACCGCTTGCTTCTTACCCCATTTGAAGCTGAAAGGATACATGATTTAATTTCAAGTAAAACGTTCAGGCACTTTACCTTAAATTTAATAAAACTATTCTTACTGAAATTAACCATTCGAATATTAACGGCGAATATTACGAAAAATCGCACTATACGTTTTTATTCAATAACTAATGTTACTTCTGTGATTTATTATAAATAATTGATTGGAAAGGTAGTTGAAATCTAGCTTTTCGTAACCTGACGCATCGTTTTGTTAAAACTGGTAATATTTAATAGTTAAATTTGAAGGGTTTAATTAAATAAATTTCCAAGGTTTTCATTCACCCCGGACTGATATATTTAATTACAAATAAATGAATATCGCAATAAAACTTGACAACTTAATTTTTAAAATTTACGAGTTTGTTTTCGTCGCCAGGAATTAACCAGCTGGTCTAAAACCGGCAATTAAAACTTAAGTACTCGGTATATCTTACAAAATTCATCGACGACAACCGCCAAATTGGCTTATAAAAGTAGCCGCCGGCAAGACACGTGCCGCGAACGGAACAAATACTTTGTAGTGGCCGGTGGAAGATTTAATGTTGGCGTATGCGGAGAACCAACTGCGATATCCAAATGAATAAAAGGATGCAGTAAACACTGCCGCTAGAAATAAGTTTAACAAATCATTGTTTATAAAATTATTTTTGCAACGAGGATATGAATTATTTACAAATTATAATAATGGCACAACGATTGAGCTGTTCACCAGTAAATGATCACTCTAAATTAAATAAAAATGTTCGTGGACAATTTTTGAGAAAATTCAATGTAAACAAAGCAGATCTAGGCGAAATGTTGATTAGAAACGTCCTAGATATATTTCTGACGATTCGAAACTGAAGTGAAAATTGAAATGTTAAGTGAAGGTTAAGTTTTTGATAGAATATACATCTTATAGCGACCAATTACTACCGAATAGCTCAACAAACCAATATTAGAATCATTTTCGACTTACGAGTCAGTACTGTCAGTAGTGGTTTCAGTTTTTAACTGTCCGCCGGGTCTGGCGTGCAGCAACGCTTGGTAGTAATCGACAATCGGAAACATAGGCCACTGTTGTTTTGTTTCTGGTTGTTCCTGCTGATCACTGGAGACCACGTCTATGTCTTCTTCGTTAGTCTCTTCCCCGGAGTCCGGTGCCAGCAGTGAAGCTACGTCGAATTGTCGCTTTCGTGGGGCCCCCCGACTCGACGGGACCGGATAGACAGCAGTAGAAGGTCCAGGAACCACCGGTGGACTCACCGACAACGGCGGAGGACTTGGGGAATCCGCACCGTCCTCGTCCACGGCTAAGCCCATGTGTTTCCTCACTTTCCTTTGGGCCTTGCGTCTTCTGAAGTCGCCTTTTCTGAAGTCCTCCACGTTTGCCGGATGAATGGCCCAGTAGTGTCCCTTGCCGTTGGCGCTTCGTCCGGCTTTGATGAAGCAGTCGTTAAGGGACAGGTTGTGCCTGATCGAGTTCCTCCACCCGGGCCCTCTCGTTCTGAAGTAAGGATAATGGTCCAGGATGTGTTGGTAGATGTCTGACAGGACTAGTTTGGCCTCTGGCGAACTGAGAATGGCCATCGCTATCAGCCCTATGTAGCTGTGCTGGGGCTTGGGTTCTTCGGGTTGCAAAGCTCTCGGGAAAAGCGGATAACATGTCAACGGTGACGGGAATGGGTTCAGTAGCGGATACCGGAGTCGTTCAGCGACGGCATACTGGTAAAGCTGAAGTCGGTATTGGTCTAACGGAAGAAGGGCCCTTGGATTGTTCGCCTCGAAGGAAAAAGGCATCGGCAACCTCGGCGACGGGTGATTCGTTGGGCTTTCGTTGCTACACATACTTAAACTAACCTGTCCACTTTCACTCGCGATTTGTTTTCCACAAACTGGCTAATAATTTTTATCAGTTTGTGTTAAACTTGTACACTTAGATGATTAATCATGTTCTGTCATTCAAGAGTGAGTTAACTATACTGTACTACTAAGGACCCATCTGGGCATCTAAACATTATAACAAACACGAACTATTTGTCGACCAATATTTGGCAACAGTCGGGAGGCGGGAACGGACCGAGCCAATGATGAGATCCAGCACCCCTCCGAAGGACGAAAGACTCCGCCTCGCCATGTTGTTACTTGGGAGCCGTCCTGTACAACCTCTTTTCGTCTGGCACGAAAGTGGGGTAACTACCCTAAAATCTTTACCATTTGTGTATACTTAGAAATCCTTAAAATTTGCATTTTAATCCATAATCTGAGTACAACAAATCATTGTAGCTAATCAAATATTTGCTTAAATTAGCGATATTTCGGTTGTCATCAACATGTTTTTTCACTCAAACTCACCGCTCAAAGCCAAATTTTCCCACAACGCCAACTTCTATAAAACCAGTGGCAGAACTGATGCACTAACAAAAAATCTGGAAATTTACTGCATTACTCCTAATCTCTTTACTATACTAGCAGATCACATCTTAGATTAATTTGTAGCGTAGTAATGCAGCATAGCGATATAATGTTACTATAAATAAATACTAAGGTAAATATAGCTATAACATGACTTTCTGCAACTCATGTAAATCTTAATTTAACGTCATTAAAAAGTATGAGAAATATCAATATTAACGTATTGAACTTTGCTTAACTTTTACATACAGGGGTCAGGATTGTAGCTTACTTTTTAAGACTTATTTTACATACTGTTTCCCATACCTACATTATATTTTGTTTTGAGTTTAATATTCTCAAAAGAACTGGCCACTATCGGAATTAATAGAAATACGCCACTTCAAAATACATCTTATGAAGAGTATTTTTGTTAACGGTTTAACTGTATTAGGTAAGTCAGATTTTATAGAAGAAAATGTGCCCCATTTGTCTGATAAGTAAAGACTAATATTAATTCAATCTTAACATGTAATTTAAGCTGTTTAGAGGCTATTTTGAATGTTATCTTAAGCAATGATTTCCACATTATAAATGATACTGTTGTCCTTCCAAATAATGAGCAAGTTCCCAAAAACTGCTAAATCAAGTATTATTGGTTCTTTGCTAACAGTCCTAAGCAGAAGCATAATTTTTGTCGAGGTGTGAAGGTGTGCAAAATAAGAGATAAAGGTTTTGGGAATATCTGAACAAATTTTTACTTGTAGGAAATTCTAGGGGGACTGAGAATATGCTTATATCCAACGATACAAAAAAATTCTGGAGGTGGATATAAAAATATTGAATTAATACTTATACTTATATGTTTATAAAATTTAAGAATATTTTCCAGTGAAGCCTCTGATTTTTGAGATACAAGTTAAATTGAAAACATTGGGAAAAAATTTCATGCGTATACCTATTTCATAGTAAAATGACATTCAAAATGCGTAGATTAACATTTTTGCGTAGCTTTTACCATTTGGGCAAAACTTGTACAAATCAGCAGCCTGTAGACACAATTAGGAAAATATAAAATTATACATGATGTTTTGACATGTTCTTATGAAACGTGTCAAAATGAAGGTGCATTTTCCTCTTCCAAATATAAGAATGTCTTCATATACAGCGTGTCTCCGTTTTGTGCGCCTTAATTCAAAAAGGTAATAGAAAAATTAATTTTATACGAAATGTTTCGTATAAACAAATATCCGGAAACCCTTAATGAAAAACATAGAAGGTTTGTACACACACAGCATAGTTTTTCCGAAGTCAGTTGAACATGCAACAAAACGTCTGATAATAAAATTTAATGAGTTTCATAGGCGTCTCTAAAAAAATTTTCTGCTAAAGGTAAAAAATTATAATAATTTGTATATAATGTGTAGAAAATTTCTATTATATGTTCATTTGGCCAACAACATATTTTAATTATTTATGTCCTCAAACAATTTTATTATATTGGTGGAAAATTCGTTTTGTTCCGCTTCAAAAGGTCTCCAAAATGCCATGTTGTGATAATATTAGTAAACAAAATATCTCTCTTATTTCTCCCTTTCGCAATTGTAATATGAATGATTGATGGAAGGTGCCTACAATAAATTAAAATTACCTGAATCACACCAAATTCCGCATTGCTGCACTGCACTGCTGGGCAACTTATCAACCACTTGTCATCTGCTGTGATTTATTACCCAGTAGCCCAATGCAACTGTGATCGTTTTCCTTTGCCCGCGCTCGCATTCTTCAACTGAGCGTATACTTTTCTATCGCCTCCACGTTTAGTTCGACCAGACCTGTATATGGGTATGGCTAAATAAATATGGGAACAAGTTTTCTAAATATTTCAATGCCGAGTTGCTGCGTCAGCGACCGAACCTGGTACATACTATCAATCTGTTGGTTCTTCCATTGATATCGGAAAGACTATACATGGATGTAGCACCATGAAAGCGAATAACTGTACCAGTGGCGGAGTTATGGGTAATCAGTGAAATGAATTCGGCAAAAAAAAGTGATACGGCCCTGGATAAAATTAAACAAAAATCGGTAATAAATCCTAAAAATCTTATTTACGGCGCAACGGTGACAGATACGAAAACATGTCAAGAGATAACTTCTGTTTAGAATTAAAAGGTTCATCCTAATAATATGACATCCTGTTACTGGTTACCCATAACTCCGCCAATGGTAGAGTCCTCCATTCATGTACCGTGTATGTAAAATTTGGTTTAAATATCTCTGAAACCTCTAAATAAAAAAATTTAAACTTTTTATTTATTATAATTTTCACACGTTGCACCTTTTTTATTAAGGATTTTTGCGTTTAAAATTAACTTTTCTATTACCCGTTTCATTTAAGGTTGTTAAAACGAGGACACCCTGTATAAACAGTTAACGATGGAGTATCAGCAGATTAATTGGGACACGGTAATTTTTTAGGAAAAATATTGAGGCAATAATTTGTAAAATCACTTAAAAATATAGGTACATATTTCCAAATTGCTAATTTGCAACAAAACGGAAAAAGCTATGGAAAAACCAAGGAAAAAAAGAGTGATTGCAAAAAATCTGTGATTTTCGCCCGTTTTTTCACAATTCGCAGATAATTAAAAAAAATACATAAAAATATGTTTTTGGTCGCAAATTACTTCCCGTAAAAAACTGGAATGAGCATAGCTTTTAGTATTTTGAAAATTTAAAAAATCACCCCTACTTAGGGGTTGAAAAAATGCCAAAAATGAAGAATTTGGATATTACCAATTGATATAAAAACTATTAGCATGTGAATTATTTTAATATATATATTTTTTTAATTTTTACAATTATTTCTGATATTCTCTATTTTTGGGGATGATTCCACCCCCTGAGCGCGCTTAAGGGTGGATTTTCTAATTCAACATGCTTTATTTCAGTAGTGAGAATAAATCTTTCTTTGTATCAAGAATCATTCGATAGAAAAATTGACATGCTAATAGTTTTTATATTTATTGGTAATATTCAATTCTTCATTTTGGGCGTTTTTTCAACCCCTAAATAGGGGTGATTTATATCAATTTTCAAAAAAACTAAAAGGTATGCTCATCTTAATTTTTTACGACGAGTAATTTGAGACCAAAAACATATTTTTATCTATTTTCTTTAGTTCTCTGCGAATTGTGAAAAAACGGGCGATTTTTGCGGTCACTTTGTATTTCAAAAACGAGAAGGAAGTGTTTTTACGCAGCGATACCTCATGTCTACGCCACTGGTTTGGGTTGAGAGTTAATTTTTTCCAGCTGAATGCGTTGTTATTCATGTATTGCACCCACAATATGTCTCGACGTTTTTACTTGTTAAATATATTTAGCAGATATTTTTTTTTGTTTTGTTTTAAAATCCAAATAATTTTAAGTTGTTGTATTGCACCCTGTATATAATATGCCGTACTTGAACAGTTAAATGAATAAATTTTATGTCTTGCGGTCCAGCCGGGAATTTCCTACGACCAGTACAGCGCGGGTATCCGAAAACCATATCGACATTTATAGAATTCCTCCAATAGCGCTACATAAGCTACGGTACAATTCAGACTTACAATCGGATTTCCGCAGGTCTTTAACATGTATCCTGCGCTGTGTCGTTTTAAGAAGCTGTTCTGGCAACAATGCGTAGGACAGACATAGGCGGAACAACTTCCACGACAGTTGGCCGTGCATGAACGATCTTGGCGAAAGGCTGATTCCAACTCCTCATTACAGTAAATAATGAATAAAGCCTTTAGAGAATCTTAATGACTGAAGAGAGTTTTTACAAACCACCAATCTGTATCTTAGAATTTGTGTAAATCATCCTTCATTTTTGACGTTCCATTATGTCATTCCTTGCTGCCTTACACCATGTATTAGATACAGTTGGTCTATGAAATTTGTTAAATCAGAATGAGACCAAAAAGGAAAAAAAAATCGGATTTAATCGACATACGAACAGATTTAATTTAAAAAATATATACCTACACAATCAATGATAAGCTGAAGGCTAAATACAGTCTATTGTAACAATTTAGCCGCTTTCCCGTGGAACTAGGAAAAAGCGGCAGTCCGAAAAAAAAATCTCTTTGTGAATCGGCAACTCGGGAAACGTTAAAGTGAGATAAATGAAATAAAAATAAAATTAGCCCTTTTGGTATTTCAGTGAAATGCCGAAGCTGTAAAGCACTAGAGTTAATTTGGGCGCATTAATGCATTTTCAATCGTGGTTTCCGCCCCGATAGTCTACAGATCGATGAAACTATTGTGCCTCATTCTGGTCACGGTTTTGACCGTATCTCATGACACGCATTGTGTTCCTAAACACATTGTCAGTCCGTGATACACCCGCACGATCGCACAAACACATGAAAACTCTACGCTATCGACTATTCGGTGCAATCTGGA